TTTGCATGTATGTCCCCCGCAAACCTCATGAAATTTGATCTCCACTGGGCACAGTGGCATGTGCCTGTAATCCCAGTTACTAGGAAGGCTCAGTGTGGAGGATCACTTGAGGCCAGGAGGCTGCTGTGTACTACATTTGTGCCTTTGAATAGCCACTGCACTCCAGCCTGGGCAATACAGGAGGACTCAAGTGTCTAAAAGTGGGAAAAAAAAAAAAAAAGAAATTTGATTCCTAATGTTGAAGGTGGTGCTTAATGGGAGGTGTTTGGGTTATAAAAACAAATCCCTCATTAATGGCTTCATGTAGCCGTCTCAGTCATTAGCGAGTTCTCACTCCTATTTGCTCCCAGGAGAGCTGGTCATTAAAAAGAATCTGCCACTTCTCCCTTCTCTTGCTGCTTCTTGTCTGTGATTTCTGCAAACACCAGCTACCCCTGCCTTCTGTCATGAGTGGAAGCAGCCTGAAACCTTCACCAAATGTCCAGTCTTCCAGCCAGCAGAATCATGTGCCAAATGACCCTTTTTTTCTGTGTAAATTACCCAGTTTCAGATATTCATTTATAGCAACATAGACTAAGATAAGTACCTACTGGGAAGCATCTGTAAATTCGGAAAACTGCAAATTTTCAAATATATGTAAATGATACCCGATGACATCTGTATTTAAATGCAGCTTTGCCTGCTGACTTCATTAACATGAGTAACCAACAAAGCAGTCTGTTTTCTGAATAAATAAGCACAGTAGGACGAGGTTCGGTGGTTCACGACTGTAATCCCAGCACTTGGAAAGGCCAAGACAGACAGATTGCTTGTGGTCAGGAGTTCGAGACCAGCCTGGCCAATGTGGTGAAACTGTCTACTAAAAAAAACAAAAATTTGCCAGGCACCTGTTGTCCCAGCTACTCGGGTGGTTGAGGCAGAATAGCTTGAACTCAGGAGGCAGAGGTTGCAGTAAGCAGTCAGCCGCGATCATGCCACTGCACTCAAGCCTGGGTGACAGAACAAGACTGAGTCGCAAAACAAAACAAAACAAAACAAAACAACATAGCAGAAGCAAAAGCACAATTCTAAACATGCAAAGAAAAAAAGAGCATGTTATCTATCTTGGCAGCACTGATATCTGATGCATTTCTAAATGACAATTTCTTTAGATTGCCTTTGAAGTTTCTTAAATAGCAGTAATAGTTTCTTCATTAAGATGTACCATATTTAATGCCAAATTTAGTATTTATCCTTACATTGCCAAGTCCAAGCATAGACACAAAACAGAAGATACTACTCTAAAAAACTAAGCATCCATAAAATGATCCTCAATACTAGAAAATGTTATTAATAATGTCTTAATGTAGCACTTATTTGGAGTTGCTTAATAAAATGTTTTTCAGTCATGTGAAAAACATTACAGTTTCTTTACACAATTTTAAACTTTAAGGTCAGCAATTTGTGCCAGAGGATCTAGAGTAATTCTCAACAGAGGTAGGAATGATGCAATTTTGCCCACCAATGAACATTTGGTAATGCCTACATTTTTTTCATGGCCTGTGGGACTGGTGGGGAGTGCTTCTGGTCTGTAGTGGCAGAACCCAGGTTAGCTGCTAGACATGTTAAAACGCATTGGATGGTCCACTAAACTGTCTTTTAGAAAGTCAATAGTGGCAAGGTTGAGAAAACCTGCTCTTAAAAGAGACTGAAATTATGCATGACACATCAGAGCTAAAAGTATGGAGTCTGGTAACTGAAAATACTCTACACACTCTAAATTCAGGACTACATGGGTTCAAATATCCACCATTTGACTAACAGAATGAATTCAAATAATTTAACCCAAGCTTAAAAATTTCAAAATTTTTGAGATAATCCATGTATTCAAATGCTTAGTTCAGTTCCTGACTTTTTTTTTTTTTTTTTTTTTTGACAGACTTTCACCTTTTTTTTTTAGGCTGGAGTGCAATGGCGCGATCTCGGCTCACTGCAACCTCCGCCTCCTGGGTTCAGGCAATTCTCCTGCCTCAGCCTCCTGAGTAGCTGGGATTACAGGCGTGAGCCACCGCACCCGGCCAGTTCCTGACATTTAAAATGTGTTCCTACTACATTGTAAATATTTAACTGTATACTTATATATTAAAATCCAGTATCAATGTCACTGAATTCCTCTGGTTTCTATGATGTGATGACTTACATACACCTATGTGAAAACTTGCTCTATTCCCCACCTTAAAATTATGAATATACTTCTTGGTCTTTGAAAACCTGTACCATGATTGAGCTCAATGGCTCACACCTGTAATCCCAGCACTCTGGGAGGCTGAGGAGAGTGGATTGCTTACGCTTAGGAGTTCAAGACAAGCCTGGGCAACATGGCAAAACCCTGTCTCTATAAAAAAATAGAGAAATTAGCTGGGCATGGTGGCACATACCTGTAGTCCCAGCTACTTATGGGGCTTGAAGCAGGAGGATCTCTTGAGCCCAGGAGGTCGAGGCTGCAGTGATCCGTGTTTGTACTTCTGCACTCCAGCCTGGGTGACAGAGACTCTGTCTCAAAAATTAAAAAAAAAAAGAAAAAGAAAAAGAAAATCTGCACTAAGGCTCAGCAGCAGAAATTCTCAAGATCTCTTGACCACAAGCACCATGGTTAGCAGTGTTAGACTCAGATTTCAACTTCAATCATAGGACACGAACAACTGATAACCTTGAAAATTGCAACAAAGAGAATGTCAAGTAAAAACCATTGTTAAAAACTGCACACACTTTAACAACAGTCAGTAAGAGAAACTCAAAGATTTCCATTTTGCCAACGTCAGAGGCTTGAGTATCCTTCCCAATTTACTTTTGTATAATTTCCAGTTCCAGTTGTTATGTATGATCTAGTGAAGTTACCAATGGTCAATACACAAAATGGAAGCGTTTTATTAAAGCAGCTTAAAGTCATATTTTCAAACTACAGAAATTCAAGAAATTCTTTAAATTCTAATAGTTAATTTCCCATTCTCTAGTAATTAAGTTCAGAGCAGATTTTCAGCATAAAAAAGTGACACATATCAAGTTTCAGTTATTTATTAATCAGTGTAATCAGCAATAGATTACATTAACATGATTTCATGCATTTAGAGAAGAAATATTTCCTGGTTCAGTGGAAAATTGTGCGGATGGCTTCTGGAAGACCTTCATTTTAAAGCAGCTTTACATTTCACTTAGAAATCTGGACGTTCTTTCTTCAGTTTGCTATAATCCACATTCACAGAGTAGAACTTGGAACAGAAAAAAAGATATTTTAAGTAATCTCAAATACAAAGAGATGGTACAAACGTTTTAGGATTCTTTGTATTTGGTTTTCTATAGTAACAATTACAGACATAAATTTTTAAAAGAATATTTAACAACATAAAGGTCATTCACAGAAAAATACTATACCTAAAATTCCAGCCTTCAAAGATAGTTTTGGCAAGGTAAAAATATTCAATTTACTTCAGAAGAGCAGTATTCGTACAGTCTACTACTTGGAACCTATACCCAAAATTTTCCTATTTCAAAATGAGTAAGAATTCCTTGCCATACATATTTCCAATTTGGTAAGTTTTCATCTTAACTCTACAAGTACATAGAAGAATCGCCAACAGAATAGAGGAATAACAAGAATTACATTCCCTACTTGCTGAATGAACTGCTGTAATTTAGAGGGAGAGATCTTGCAAAAAAAGACGCTAGTAATGTAAGACACTGCTTTGTTTTGTGGCTTACATAACTTTTCAGATATTTTCTCTCTCTCAGTAATTTCCTAACCCAGGCTGTATTCAATATCAAACTGACACTTCACCTCTGGCAATGGCTTTTAAATAATATGGTACTTTTGCTGTTTAAAATTTCCCCAAATTTCTTTATAATCAAAATTAATTTTAGAAATAAATCTTACTGTGATTGCTTAAGAAAAAAACTGTCTCTTACTCCCAGTAACTTTAAAAAAAAAATGACATATTTGAAACTGGTCCAGAATTTCTACTAAGGACACAAGTCCAAATAAGGGTAAAAATCTTGGGTTTACTCATTCTTGTGCCAAAGAATGCTAAAGAGGTCATGCTGTAATTTTTCGACGACTATGTTATTTATCTCCAGAAGAACCACAATTTCAGAATGATACACATTTTCTTCAGGGTTTTTAAGTAAGACGTTCACAAATCTATGTTCATTATTTCTTTAAACCCTTTAATGTCTTCAAATATATCCTAACTTATCTATTGCCAATTGAAAAACTCCTATTTATTTATTTAAAAAATCCTCAGGTTGTAAAGCTTATTCCCAAGTTATTCTTGAGATACAGACAGATACAGGCTTTTACGGACAGAAAATTATACATAAGCCATAAAGCAGTGTTCTTTGTTCTGACAGTGTTCTCTTAAGAAGCAATTAACCTAGACAATGAGATTTCAAATAAAGAAACTACTTGTGCTATCCTCTAACATATTAACAAAATATTAGAAATAATTTACAGAAGGGTCTGCAAATACATATAAAGGAAAGGAAAATAAACATTTTTGGGCTCCTGCCCAGGCACTGGGCTAGATGCTTCATATATATCTTACTTATCACAATAACCCTTCTCATTCTTAATTTATAAAAGAGGTAATTGAGATCAAGTTCTACAACTTGCCAAACACTGAATAAAAAGCAGGATCAAGGCCCTATACCCAAGCAGAGTCGAAAGCACATACATGGTATTTTTGCCAAGGTTCTTAAAACTAAGCAGCCTTCTGATTTATTTGCTTTATACTCAAAATTCTCTCTAGAATTTTAAAACCTGCTTTCAATTTCTCTGCCTCTATTCTTTTTCTCAGTTTAATGCTGGCTACCTTGAGTTTCTGAAACAACAGTTGGGAAGGCACAACATATTCTAATCTTAGCTTTGAGGCGCTTCAACTGTTACTCAGTTGGGAAGTGTTGCTGGGCCCTTAATGCTCAAATCTCACTTTGGTCCTGTCTCTTGATGTTTTATTCATTAGCTTTTGCTAGATTATAGCATGGCAACAAATAACCTGCTGTTATGGACTGAATGTTTATGTCCTCCCAAAATTCATGTTGTAACCCTAAACGCCAATGTGATGGTATTTGGTGGCTGGGCCTTTGAGAGGTAATTAGTTCATGAAGGTGGAATACTCATGACTAATGCCTTTACAAGAGGGTTCACTCCTGTCTTTCCATCTTGTAAGGACATAACTGGGTTGGGTCCTCATCAGGAACAGAATGGTTGCCACCTTGATGTAGACTTCCCTGCCTCTAGACTGTGAGAAATAAATTTGTTGTTTAAGCCACCTGGTCAATGGTATCTCATTATGGCCGCCCAAATTAACACACTCCAATCTTAGTGGCTTACAATAAAAGTTTACTTTTCACTCACATTATATGCCACTTTTATGTTGACTGCTTCATATTTTTTCATTCTAGTTCTAAGGTGAATGAGTAGCCCTTTGTCAATTTTGGTCTCATGAGATGTAAAGGAACAACAGGGGAACCACACAATGGTTTAAGAGTGGTAAGTATCATTTCCTCCAACTCATAATTTCCCAGAACAAGTCACAAATCAAATCTGATATCAGTGGGCTAGAAAAACAAATTCTCTTAGGTGAGACATTGTGAATGATGGAGATAATAATCTAGTCTACCACACTGAATGGTTTTAGGAAAAGTAGTAGGTAGGTTTCATTCACTCCAGGTTCTCAAGTTTCTGGATTTGCTTCCTTTTCATTTTTGTCATTATATAAATGACATTCTTCATCTTTCTAGACTCTGATATCAGTATCACAGCTATTAACAGCCCAGTTATGCCACACACATTAGGTTCTTGTTGCAGCAACATTTTCAGTTTCAGTTCCCAAGACCTCATAGTGGCATGTGTTGTGGTATTTCAGAACATTGGCAAACTGGCTGCGTTATCAGAATCATCTGTTACACTTTTTGAACTACACATACCCACAGACTCCAATACACTCTTTGGTGGAAGGACCAAAGCATGCTAGTTTTTTTGTTTACTTTTTAAATGTTTCTTGTGTGTGAAATTATTTTCTCTGGAATGGACTTGATTTAAATAAATTCATAACACAAGAATAAATGAGGATGCCCATTTATCTTTTTTGAGGCAAAATGTAACACAGAGATGAGACAGCTGTTTCAGCTTAGCCAGTACTTTTTATTTTCTTCTTGTAAGGAGATTGATTTAGGGATTTAGAAGCCAAATTATAATCAGGTTAAGTGGAAAACCCGCAATCAGCAAGGGGTGATCTTAAAAGTTCCTATCAGGCTGTGGGAACAGTGGCTCACACCTGTAATGCCAGCACTGGGAGGGTGAGGCAGGCCGATCAACTTGAGGCCAGGAGTTCAGCCTGGCCAAGATGGTGAAACGCCATCTCTACTAAAAATACAAAAAATCAGCATGTCTATAGTCCCAACTACTTGGGTGAGTAAGGCACGAGAATTGCTTCAGCCTGGAAGGTGGAGGTTGCAGTGAGCCAAGATCACATCAGTTTGCTCCAGCCTGGGCAACAGATTAAGACTCTGTTTCCAAAAAAACCAAGCTGCTATGAGTAATGATAGTCCATCATAGATACATATATGCCAAGGAGTGCTGGACACACTGATTGGGGACCCTGTTCTTGAGAGTGATAAATCAAGAACCGTTGATTTACGCCCTGTGCTGTTGCCACATACACTTTTTTTGATGAAGCAGCTTGATATTATGAAAAAAGTGCATGAGTTAGTGAGTTATAAACTTTAAGCATGTAAACTGTGTAGTATGTGAATGGTACAGTATCTTAATGAAGCTGCCCTTGGTTTTTTGGGTTTTTTTTTTTTTTTTTAGACAGAGTCTTGCTCTGTTGCCCAAGTTGGAGTACAGTCGCATGATCTTGGCTCACTGCAAACTCCACCTCCCAGGTTCCAGTGATTCTCCTGTCTCAGCCTCCCGAGTAGCTGGGATTACAGGTCCCTACTACCATGCCCAGCTAATTTTTTGTATTTTCAGTAGTGATGGGGTTTCACCATATTGGCCAGGTTGATTTCGAACTCCTGATCTCAAGTGATCCTCTGCCTCAGCCTCCCAAAGCGCTGGGATTACAGGCATGAGCTTCCACACCTGACTTGGCTTTGGTTTTGACACCATGAAGGGTCTTTGTATGCAAAAGTTTTTACACATAAGGAAGGTTACGTTTGGGGAAACAATAAACGGTCTCAGTACATGAAATCATTCTCTGGAAGAGTATTTCCACAGATCACTCTAAATTCTCATTCTCCACAACAGACCAGCTGAATCAGAATCTCTGGGGATAATGGTGAAGAATCTGTGTTTCAACAAGCTCTATATACAATGAAGTTTGAGAACACTGTTTTAGACTATCTAAGAACTAAGAAAAAGGTAAATGATAGCTATACTATTTTTCCTTCTTTTCTTATACTAGCAATACAATACCTAGGAAAAGATATTTATTAGAGCAATATACCATTTTCACTTCACAGACTACCTAACAGCTCTTCAAAGTTCAATATTATAGATTTTTACTCATATATCCAGTTTCAAGAAAACCCATCCCATGACAAAACTTATTACAATACAATTTTCAACAATTTTAAAATGATTTTGTAGTATACCTTATATTGATCATTGGGACCTAGTTTGTTCCAGGGCTCTGGGTTATTCTTTCTGTCCCAACTAAAATAAACAAAACATTATGATTATCACAGTAATAAAGGACTATTTAAAATAGTGTTTTGCACTTAAGAATACATTTTGAATAGATCAATGTTATTTTGTATTAGACGAGTATGGTGTCATTTCATTACGAAGCTGAAACAAGAATAGGATCCATAATAAGCAATCTCATATAATCAATTAGAAAAACGGTAGAACACAGAACATCTTGGAGCATTTCTTCTTATCTCTCTCCCTATCACAAGACACTTTTTACCTTTCACAAAAGCTTTCCATTTCAGTAATAAAGTGATATGTAGAAAACTGCATAGAATAATGATGAATCAATCTTTTAATTATCTATTGTTTTTCAACTACAAATGTGGAAGTGCAGGCAAAAAGCATTTACATGTACCAAGAACCAAGATTATTTTATAAAAACAATTATTATCAGGTCAATCTTCAAAACATTACAAGATTTGGTATTAGAAGTTCTACTTTACCAAAGAAAAAAACAAGACTCAGAGAAATTAGATAATTTCATGAAGAAAAAAGTAAATGAAAACAGCAGATTTGACATGTGAATTTATTATATGACTGTAAATGTTTCTTTCTACTACCTGATGTTATCTTCCTGCAGAGACTGTGGCTTCTACACTGCCTTGATAACGTTATCAAAGTTTTAAACATTTTTTTGTTATTTTTTTTATTTTTTATTTTTATTATTATTTTTTTTTAAGAGATGGGTTTCACCATATTGGCCAGGCTAGTCTCAAACCCCTGACCTCGTGATCCGCCCACCTCGGCCTCCCAAAGTGCTGGGATTACAGGCGTGAGCCACTGCACCTGGCCAGTTTTAAACGTTTTTGAGTACTTACCAAACATCTGGATTGAACAATGCCAAACGCAAGAGATACAGGGCTGCTCCCCCACCTCCAGCTCCAATAAATACAAAGAGCGGGATCAACTAGAACCAAACACAAAATAGAGTTAATAACCATGTTCAAAGACTTAAGACACTGGCCAAAGCGAGATTACAGTAGTTTCCACAAATTGATTTCCAAGTCTCAAACTGCTATTGTGCTATTTTGAATTAAAATTTAAATAAAGGTAGATCTTACATTGAGATAAGATTTCCCACAACGGTGTTCTAAAGAAAAGTAATGGAACTTGGAAAGGATATTAAGATGATTATGGTTTAATTGTCTGATTTTTTAATGTGGAGGAAATTTTAAGCACATTTTTAAATTTCTAAGAAAACGTATCAAGTCTTCTTCACCTCTCTAATATTTACACGCCATTCCCATTAAATTTTCTGGCTTCCTTTATCCTGAGGCTTGAAAAACAAGTTCTTTGCAAATGACTTAAGGGTGCCTCCATAAAGATGTATGAAATATAGAGTCTGAATAAGCAAACATAGCTATTACAAATACTGGCTTTAAGCATTATCTCTGAAAACGTATTGCTGCCAATGCTTGCTGCGTATTTAGGAAACTGGATTTAAGACAGATTAAAGATTGCATAGACTTTCAGCTCTACCATACGTTGGTGTGCCGGGGGAAAATGAGAAGCGAAAGAACTTAACTGCAATTAAATTCCGCACTACGACACTTCCCCAGATGCAACGACGTACAGACAAAGTGAGGATTACAAGATTACGGACCCCTCTTATTTACCAAAAGGCCTGGTGGTGCAATAGGGTGAATACAAGACCCTTAAGAAATGGTATAACACATAGGGAACCTGACCTATGCTAGTCTCTGACCCAGACAGCGAACATCTATCTCTCCTGGACCGCACAACCTGCCAAAGAGCGCGGCCACCAGACTGTTCCAATATTCACCAGCTTTTTTTTCCTAGCAGTGTCCCTCACCTTCTGCCTACCAGACAAAACCCCACCATGCATGGCATAGAAGGTCACAGCTCAGAGGCCTGGGGCAACTAACATGACACTAGGAGAGGCAGGATCTGGTCTGACGGACAGTGACTGTAAATGAGGGCGCTCCCAGGGGACAGAAGGAGGCGCAACCCCACACAAGGATAAGATAAGACATTAGAAGAGAGGTCACGAACTTACGCTCGGATGCTTCTTGGCCTGACCTAAGATGTGGCGGAGCATGTTTGCGGCAGAGACCTCCGATTGGAAAGAAGAAAATGAGCCCAGCCACCAAGCTCCGGGCTAAGTAGTATCTGCACTGACCCTGTGCGGACTTCCAAAGTCACCTAGGACCTCCTACCTGAAGGACCCTTGGCTGGGAGGGCAGCCTGCGACAGGAGGGCCCGGATGCAACTGTCCTTAACAGTGCCTGCTTAGATCTAACTACTCGCATGTCCGTCCTGACCTGGTCGGACTATCATCATTCCACTTCCTAGAGAAAAAAGCCTTCCGTGCCGTGCTATGCATATTTCTGGAGGGAAATGTTTTTGTAAAAACGAGGACCCTTCCATTGACGAGACAGGCACTTTCCGAGGGGGCCATGTATTGAAAAATGCGGCCGACGCCGGGGCGCATGGGCCGCGCGCCCAGCGAGTGAGATTCTCTACCGCGGCGCCTGAGAGCCGGGTCCGCGCGCCGAGGCCCTGCGTGCGCGCGTGCAGGGCGCGCGCCAGCCGGCTGTGACTGCCGCTGAGGGAGCTGCGCGGCGCCTCTGGGAGCCGAGCGCCGGTCGCCTGGAGGGCAGGTCGGGTCTCTTCCCTCTAAGGTCAGCGGCTGCGGTTTGAGAAGACTGCAGCTGCATCCTGTCTTAGGCTGTCGCAGACAAGCGGAAGTTAAAAACTAGTAAATGACTAAAAGATGGTAATAGTTCTGGCAGTGTAATTTCTAAACCCTCAGATCCTTGCCCTCGGGTGAAAGTAGCCACAAAGACCTTTGCGACACGCTACTGTCCCCTCTCCCTGGTCCCAGATTGTATCCTTAAAATGTGTTTTCAGTGATCGTATACCTACAGATAATCTTTCCCACCACCCCAATCCAATTTTCATTTGTCTTTTTGTTTTGTTTTGTTTTTACTCGAAGGTCTTCCATAGGACAGGCTTTATGGATAGACCCTTGGGATAAAACGTGCGCTCTGAACCCTCTCCAATCTCATACCTAGCTTAAAGCCTTAATCAAATGATCAAGCAAGTATTAATAACTGGGACTAGAAATTATAGAAGGCTCCACTGGCACTTACAGTAGATCTGAAGGAGGAGTAAATATTACACAGGTGAAAACGGAAGATGCAGGTGTACAGGGCGGAGGTAATACACGTGAAGGTCTGAAGCTAGTGAAGACTTCCGAGGAGCTGTATGAGGTCTGGTGTGGTTGTAAGAGGGAGAGCAAGGTGGGGATCAGATCTGCTGGACCAATAACCGCTTACATATCATGGGTTTTATGTTGAGAGCTTGGGAAAGTTGTAGTTTGAAATGATCGCTTTGTCTATGAAGAATGGATTAGAAGGGATAAGCATGAAAGGGGAGGGACCTATGAAGGGACCATTGCAATAGTCCATAGTCTGTGTGAGAGATAATGGTAGCTTGAACTACCATTCAAGAATGTAATGATGAGAAAAAAAGATTCCAGAGATATTTAGAAGGTGGCACCAGCAGGACTTGGTGGTTGATCATCAGGGAGTGAGGAGAAGGGAGTTAATAATTTCAGAGGTTCAGTTTTGAGCAGCTCTGTGTTTGTTGATGCCAGTTACTGAAATAAGAAGCCATAGAAAATGATGTGTAAGTGCCTATGTAAAAATTCAAGTGGATTTCTATGGGGCTGAAGAGATCTACACTCGAAGCATAAATTTGGGACTCAGTTTATTGATAAGAAATGAAACCACATGACTGAATGCAATTACTTAGGGAGAGAAGGTTGAGTGAGAATTTAGAGGACACAGAGCCAAGGAATTTCAACTTGTAATGCTTAGAAGAGGAGGTGTGACCACTAGGTAGAAAAAAACAAATAGATGGTGGCTGTTGAGGTCGTATGTCAGGAAGCTTATCAAGACTGGTGTCTTTTTTCATTCATTCAGCAAATCTTCCTTAAGTACCTACTCCCCACTAGGTACTGTTCTAGCCACTAGAGCTACAGCAGTGAAGGACAAAGTTATTCTGCCCTAATGGAGCTTACATACTAATTGAGGAAGACAAACAATAAGCAAATGAGGTAATTTTTAGATAGTGACAAGCCAATGAAACAGAATAATGAGGCAGAAAATGACATGAAAGAGGTGGAGGAGAGAAGGTTACTTTTGGTAGAGAGGACAGGGAAGGTCCTTCTGAGGATATCTGAGATGAAACTTAAATGAAAGGAAGGAGGTAACCTGGTAAAGATCTGGGAAGAACACTTCACTTGGCAAGATAAATGATTTTGAAATTTAAAAAAGGAAGAAGAAGAAAAAAAGTGCTCAAAAAAGTATCAGTGTGGCTGACCCATAACTAAGGAGAACAAGAGGGAAGTGAGAGCAAAAAGTAGAGTCTGAAGGTCCATGTCCAATTCTCTGACATGCACCTTACAGGCTATGGTAAGGAGCATTATTGTGTTAAAAGATCAGCACAAAAACATGGCAAATACTTAGAAGTGAACAAAGAAACCTTAGTGAGTGTAGATAAGCTTTCAGCAAATAAATTGGAAGAAGGGAGACCTCTTCTTCCAATATTTTATTTTGAATAATAACAATAATAAAATAGGCATGTAGAAATGCCATTATTAATAAGACAGTAAAATCCAGTGACTCACTTTTTTTTTTGTAATGACAAAAAAATACAAAGCTGGGTGTAGTGGCATGTGCCTGTAGTCCCAGCTACTGGGGAGGCTGAGGCAGAAGAATCGCTTGACCCGGGGAGGTGGAGTTGCAGTGAGCCAAGACTGCATCACTGTACTCCAGCCTGGGCAACAGAGGAAGACTCTGTCTCAAAATAATAATAATCCTAAAATATGAGCCAGGCACATGTACTTACACCTGTATACCTATAATCCCAGCACTTTAGGAGGCCAAGCCAGCCTGGCCACATGGCAAACCGCATCTCTACTAAAAATATAAAAATTAGCTGGGCATGGTGGTGCATGCCTGTAATCCCAGCTACTTGGGAGGCTGAGGCATGAGAATTGCTTGAACCCAGGAGGCAAATGTTGCAGTGAGCAGAGATCACATCTGAGTGATAGAGACTCTGTCTCAAAAAACAAACAAACAAACAAAAAAATCTAAAATATATGGCATAGGATTTAGGTCCTGGCAATAGGTGACAAAATAACTATTACCAGAGACTAGAAGGATGGCTATCTATATATAATGTAACATTGGAACATTGTGAAACACTTATTTCAATTAATTGAAAGACAGTTAATGTTTCCAGTGAGCTGGTAGCTTTCAGTGAAACAGCAGGCAAAGAGTATGTTAGCAGCAAGTATCAGTTACTATTGGCTACAGTTGACAAGGTAGTATAATAAAGAGATGGACTCAAAATAATTGGTCAGTTTGTAAACTGTAATGACAGATAATAAAACATTCATAAATTTAAGGACATGCAGAGTTGGAAGATCTGATTAATTCTCATCTCTAGCTATCTAAAGTAAGGATGGGAAGGTATTTGGGCTACACGGATCAATTGATAGGAAGATAATGGCCCAATCAAGAATGCGGCTATCATACCTTTGTTAAATCATCTTAGTAAAATAAGATGCCTTCAGTAAATGCTTTCAGCTGAACAATTTTAAAGTCTCAGTAAATAGACAAGGATGTAGCTCTTCTACCAAAACGTGATAGGATTAGGGTGATTGGCATTAAGTCTAGAGGTATGCCTCAAAAAAAATTGTGGCTGTGGCACTGGTGCATGAAGTTGACTGAAATCAAATGGAAGTAGAGTAAGTACTGTGAAAAGAATGATCAGCATTGGATTAAAGAAACTAATGGTTTGAGATGTGAAAAGACACAAGCTCCTCCATCTTTTGCAGCTGGGAAGCAGGTAGAGAAACATACTCATTTCCAAGGAGGGCTGATTCTCTAATGTCTTCCTTAGCTGACTCTAAGACAAGACTTCCTAGAGTGTGAGGCAAGAACCACAACGAAGATTGGACTAGAACTAATCTCAAAATGGCAAAATCAGGGCCTAGGAAAAGAATATTTCCCACTTTAAGTTAGCAGCAACTTCAAGACAGTAAAATTTCAGGACTATTCTTCACTTTCTGAATAGTATCATTCATTGTAGTTACCCAGTTCCTGTTCCACCATTGTATTTTGGGTGTTGTGGGGCAAATAACTTGTCTTTGTTCTTCATGGATCTCCAGATCAAGAGGAGCTATATCGAGAACAAACATAAAGACTACGGCATTATTCATAGATTATCGGCTCTGAGCAGGAAATAGTAACAGTATAGGGCTTTTAACTTATCTCCACTTTGGTGAGTGTATTCTGAAGGAGGATTACAATGATTGTAATCATTCAGATATTTTTTCAGAAGGACAGACTGTGGTAGATTTTCTTTTGCTTGCAAATATTTAATGTTTTTACCGGTAAAAATTCTATTTTCTCTCTCTTTTGACACCAAGCTTAATCAAGGTGATTTGATTTGAATAATAAAAATAAATAAAAATATTGATAATACAGAGGGCAGGTGCAGTGGCTCATACCTATAATTGGAGCACATAGGGAGGCCAAGGTGGACAGATCACCTGAGGTCAAGAGTTCAAGACCAGTCTGGTCAACATAGTGAAACTCCATCTCTACTGAAAATATAAAAACTAGACAAGCATGGTGATGTGCACCTGTAGTCCCAGCTACTTGGGATTCTGAGGCAGGAGCATCACTTAAACCTGTGATAGAGAGGTTGTAGTGAGCCGAGATCATGCCACTGCACTCCAGACTGGGCAACAGAGCAAGATTTTTGTCTCAAAAAGAAAAAGACAAATACAAAAATTGATAATACAGAAAGAAGTAAGACTGTGGGGCCTGTGAAGAGTTTAATGAAGACTGTGGCATTGTACTGGACTGTGTAGAGTGATCAGGCCAAAAAAGAAGGAGAATTGCATTTCATACAGATGAAATAGTCTGAACAAGGCAGAAAAATGAAAGTTCATAATATAAGTGCATAGTGTGTGGAAGAAGTTGAGATGAGTTCAGTGTGACGGGGTGTGGATTGCATAGGAAGTATTTGTAAGAAATGAAACTGAAGCTGTGCACAGTGGCTCACGCCTGTAATCCCTGCACTTTGGGAGGCCAAGGCAGGCAGATCCACGAGGTCAGGAGCTCAAGACAAGCCTGACTAACATAGTGAATCCCTGTCTCTACTAAAAATATAAAAATTGGCCAGGTGTGGTAGCACATAACTGTAGTTCTAGCTACTCAGGAGGCTGAGGCAGGAGAATTGCTTGAATTCGGGAGGCAGAGGTTGCAGTGAGCCAAGATTGTGCTACTATGCTCTGGCCTGGACAACAGAGCAAGACTCCATCTTAAAAAAAAAAAAAAAAAAAATAGATATGGGGCTTTATCCATTAGGCAGTGAAGACTAGTAAAACATTTTGTATCTAAGCACAGAGTGAAACAACTGCAGGATATAAATTGGAGATATCTTTGTCCCATCTCACTCTGAGACTTGTGCTCTCTGGATTTATTCTCCTTGTGTTTGATTTACTTTTGTCAATAATTTTAAGATACAAAAAATATATAAATATTAGTTGTTCAAATTAATGTAAGACATGGTGAATAACTCTAAAAATCCTGTGCAGTATGTCAGTAGCACCCAAGGTGAAGTATTTTTCTTACATACTTTTTCTGATGTTT